ATAGGATGTCACTTTTTAAGAAATATTGGTGCATGGTGCTTTTCTTCCAGACATTGTGGTTGGGTAGGGTAACTGCTGCTGTAGAGGACTTGAACATCCTACTTTCATCAATGGGAAGATCAACAAGATGGAAAATAAATAAGGAAACAGCCTTAAATAAGGAATTAGACTACATGGGCTAACTGCATATTTATATGGCACTGTACTTCCCCCAAAGCCAAATATACATTTTTCAGAAGCTCCCTTATGGCCATTTTCTGGGATAGACCACGTTAGGTTATAAAAAAAAGGTGTTAATAAATTAATGAAGATTGAATTCCTATCAAGAATATTCTCTGATCATAGTGGCGTCAAACTAGAAATCAACCACAAAAAAGAAGGCAGGTGAATCTTTAAAATGTAGAGAAGAAAATATACTACTGAATGACTATTGGATTAATCAACAAATAAAATAAGAAAATTAGAAATACTTGGGGAAAAACAAAAATGAAGACACAAACTATAAGAACTTATGGGACAAAGTAAAAGCAGTACCAAAACAGCAATGCAGAGCCACATCCAGAAACAAGAAAGAGTACAATTAATTATCTACCCTAATATCTTAAACATCTAGAAAAAGAGGAACAAAATGAAGTCAGTAGAAGAAATGAAATAATAAAAATTAGAGCAGAAATAAATAGAAGTAAAAACATCCAAATGCTCAATGAATCTAGAAGCTGGATCTCTGAAAAAATAAACAAAAGAGACAAAACTCTAGATAGTCTCACCAAGAAAAAAATGAGAGAAAACGCATTTCAGAAATACAGAGGAAATACTTACCCCCCCCCAAAAAAAATTTATACACAAAGAAGAGAAAGAATAAAACCTGAACTCAACAATAAGAAGATAATGATTATTGGAAGGACTTGGGGAAAAGGGTGGAAGGGATAGAAGGGGGAGGCAGTTAGGTTATTGGTATGGGTGGTTTGGTAAAGGGACAAAAAAAAAATTAAAAAAACAAATCCCTTTATTCTAGCAAAGGTAAGAGATGGACTCCTTTCTCCCCAGAGTTCCCTTAACTTAAAAGAAACACAGAGGATCATAAGGGACTAGTATGAAAATCTATATATCAATAAATTTAATGATTTTCATTTATTTTCTAACAAGTCTCATTATTCCCAAATGCTATGACCTGTCTACAAAGGAAATTAGAGAAAACTTATTACTAACATAACTAATGAGAATATGGAAAGGTTTCTAGACAGAAATATAACAATAAAAATAATTTTCAGCACTACTTATCAGCAACAAGTTTGAAGACATAAAAAGTATTTCATCATCTTCACTGGGGAGAAAGTCAAGATGGACCAGTCATGGATACTGGACTCACCTCCTTCCCATAGGCACAATAAGTCTGCATCTATGTTGGCAGCCTGACACTCACACTTAGGCTGCTTTTGTCTTGCCTAGCCTCTGTAGGAGAAGTCTACTGGAAGAGCTCCTCACATGAGAGGTAGGCTGTAGTTGAGGGGTCAGTTGCAGCCTAATGCCACTGGAAAAGTTCTGCCTTCAGCTTATGGTGGTGTCAGAGCCCTCCTTAAGTCCAGCAGCTACACCCCAGAGAGGTTCATGCCCTTGCAATCTACCGCAGTAATTTCTGAGCTTTCTACTGTTATAGTCTTCAACTGTTGGCTGGTTTCCCAGGTCACTATGCTGTGCTGGCTCTCAAGGCTTGTCATCTTGACAGGTGACAAGGCCTCAGCCTATACAACAAGAGAAAGCCCAACACTCTAGCCTATACCCTGCAACTTCCTATTCTAGACCAAAATCATTACAACAGGGCTGCAAGGAAAGTTGTTTATAGTAACCCATAGAATAAAGTGCACCATACAAAATAAGGACACAGCAATTGACTTCAACTGATGGAACTAAACAGTCCCTGGGAAGAATTCCTAATACAAAACTAAGTAAAAGAAACTTTTACTTAGCAAAACTAAGTAAAAGAAACAGTGTTAATGATGCCTGCTGAAATAAGGAGAACACAGGATGAACAAAATGGGAACTACAACAAAGACTGAAAATATGGGAAATTTTTTCAAGTACAAATTATAGAGTAAAAGGGCACAACAGTTGAACTAAAAATACAATAGAGGGATTAAATAAACTAAATGAAGGAAAGGACAGAATCGGTGAGTTGAAAAACAGAGTAGTAGAAGGCAGCTAAAGGACCAAAAAAAGCAGACAGAATTTATAAATAAGAAGATAACATAAAACACATGAAAACAGCAAAAGGAATAACATTCACATCACAGGGGTTGCAAAAAGGGAAGAAAACAAGGGGCAACACAATAGTCCATAACTTCCCTGACTTGGGAAGGAAACAGAAACCCCAGATCCAGGAAGCTCAGGGTTCTAAAC